TTGAACCATTTGTTGTTCCCTTGTCCCTAGGTTGGCCAACCCTCCTCCCTTCCCCTACCTCCCACACTCCCATGTCCCTCCGGGGCCATTGGTTCCTTTATTTTCTTCTCACATTTTTTTTTTTTTGTCTAGCTTCTCTTATTTAGGTGGATGTGCAGATATATTAATATGTGCATAAAATTGGGGATGGCTTTGACAGTCAGCCTTTCCAAGTGTTCTTCATCAAGACAGCAAGTATCATTTCGGCTAGGATTAAAGTGGTACTGTATCTTCTATTTCCCATTTTTTTCCGAACCTCCTTTGGGGTCTTCTCTGGGTCAAGAGAGAGGCATGCAGAATTCAAGCATTTTTGACTCTTCTGATGCTTAATACCTTAATACCATCACACCTCAGCAAACATCTAACAAAGATGAAATGAATGGATGAGGGGAGGGAAAGGGGATTTGGGGAATAAACAATGAAGGCAAGAGTGGGTGGGGGGCACTACAACTGACTGTGATGGCACAACTCAGCTTAAAGGCCATTTAACCATGGGGGGAGGGGAAAGCTCTGAGAGATGTAGTGGTGACTATACAACTTCTCTTGATATGATTGAACAACTGAATGATTCAATTGTATGATATGTAAATTATGTGCCATTAACCCTGTTGGGGGAAAAAAGAATGGTAAACTAATAAACTGATAGCAAACTTTGAAAAAACAAACAAACCCCAAAAGATGAAATGCTGTGCAGGTGGCAGTGCCCACTCGGGACACCTAGCACAGCATGTCAGACAATATGGGCTGATGCTCGCGAGAGTCGGAGGCAGAGATGTTAGCGGCATCTTAGGGATGCTGCATCCCTCCAACTGTTTGCTCATTGTCCTGGGCACTGTTTTAGTCACTGGTGAGAAAATAGTGAGCAAAACACACAGAGCTCCAGCCTCAATGAGCTTCTCGTGGGAAACTAATGGGGAAACAACCTACTAGCAAAGGGAGCAATGAAGCAAAAAATAAAACGAAGTTATTGGGGTGGGAGGGGATGCTGCTTATTATGTAAGGATGATCAGCACAGGTCACTCACTCAGAGTGCTCTTGCCTTCCACCAACACTCCTACGGAGAATTCTGGCTGTACTTCTTCCAAGATACACTTCAATGTTCTTGCTAGCACCAGAACATTCAAAGGCATCTATTTTAATTTTTTATTAGTTGCCCAGCTTTCAAAAGCACATCGGGCAATTGAAAATACGGCCGGGGCAGTCATGCCTTAGTCCTGACACTGACACCTTTGCTCTTTCCACACTTCAAATGGAATGTCTCTAGTGCTGCCAGTCTTCTGCAGCAGCGCTGCCCAGTGCAGTACAGCGCTTTAATTCTTGGTGGAGGCTTCAGTGGGCTTGCATTGGGGTCCAAGCACAATGAAATCTTTGATGACAACTTGGATCTTTTCTCCATGCTCTGATATTGCTCACTGCTCCAGTTGTGGAGATTTTTGCTTTTTTTTTTTTTTTAATTGAGTGTCATCCATATTGAAGGCTGTCATCTTTGATCTTCATCAGCAAGTGCTTTGTCTTCTTCCCTTTGAGCAAGCAAAGTTGTGTCATCTGCATGCCACAGGTTGTTAATAAGTCTTCCTTCAATCCTGACGCCAAGTTCTTCTTCCTATAATCCAGCTTCTCTGGTTATTTGCTCAGCATACAGCTAAGTATGGTAAGAGGATACAACCCTGGTGTATACCTTTCCTGATTTTAAACCACACACATCCCCTTGCTCTGTTTAAACAACTGCCTCTTGGTCTATTATAGCATAGTCTCCCAAACGTATTGGGTCTACTATGCCCTTTGCAGAAAATAATGGCTCAGTGACCCTCTGTCAATGAAAAACTTTTGCATCGTAGCCCATAATCCAGGATAAAGTGTAGGTATCTGCTCGTGTAGCTTCGATCTGTGTGGTCGGCAGTTTAAACCACCAGGAGGTGAAGGAGGCATGACACCAGGAGAGGGATCTGTTTTTTAAAGATGGCTGGTTCTAAGATGTGATTGCAAGTATGGCAAAGCGTCAGCTGAGCGGTTGGAAATGATGCAGGAGAGAGGGCATTCAGAAGTAGAATCCTGGAAGAGATGAGTGGTTGCCCCTCAGTTGTTGCTGTTGTTAGCTGTTGCTGACTTCCTCCCGATGCATGGTCACCCCGAACTCTGTGACCGATAGGGTTCTCATTGGCTGATTTCAGGTCACCATGTCTTTCTCCTTAGTACATCCTGGTGTGGAAATGCCATCAAAACTGGTCAGCATTATATCTGTTTCTGTCAAATTATTTCCGACTCAGAGTGAGGTAAGTGACTCTCTAGGACAGTGGTTCTCAACCTTCCTAATGCCGAGACCCTTTAATAACCGTAATTTTGCTACTGTTATGAATCGGGTGACCCCTGTGAAAGGGTTGTTCAACCCCAAAAGGGGTGGCGACCCACAGGTTGAGAATCGCTGCTCTAGGACAAAGAGTAACTGCCCCCTACGGTTTCCAAGGCAGTGAATCTTTGCATAAACAGACCGTCGGCAGAGTGGCTGGTGGGTTCTAACTGCATTTAGCATCATGGCCACACACAGACCACCACAGTGCCCTGCCCTGGGATAGGAGCAGTCTTTTATCGTATAGGCAGGAAAGCCAACTACCCAAAGGCAGACGCAGGTATCTAGAGGATTTGGTAGTGGAAAGATGAGGTAATTCTCTGCTGATTGTAACTAGCTTCCTATAACAAAGAAGGAAAAAAATCATCAAAGAAGGGAGGAAAGCTGATCTGAGACAAGAAGCTATCAAATACTTGTCCCTGAGAGTGCTTGACAATTAACTACATGTGCAAGGGAAACACCTGGTTTAAGGTGTAACAAGAACAAAACCATACACACAACCACCTACTGCCCTCTAGTGGATGAAGACTCACAGTGACCACATAAAGGTTTCCAAGGCTGGACAATTTTTCAGAACCCAATTGCTACATCTTTCTAAACCACCAGCTACCTTGATAAAATGCAGTGCTCAATCGCTGAAGACAAAATGGGTGCATAAGCAAATGTGGTGAAGAAAGCTGATGGTGCCCGGCTATTAAAAGACATAGTGTCTGGGGTCTTAAAGGCTTGAAGATAAACAAGCGGCCAGCTAGCTGAGAAGCAACAAAGCCCACATGGAAGAAGCACACCAGCCTGTGTGATCATGAGGTGTCAATGGGATCAGGTATCGGGCATCTAAGACCCAGAATAAAACCATACCCAAGGTGAATGGGGGTGGAAGGGCAGGGCATGGAATGGAGACCATCTAGCAGGGAAGCAACAAAGCCCACATGGAAGAAGCAGGTCAGCCTGTGTGATCATGAGGTGTTGACAGAAATAGGTATCAGAAGTTCAAAAACAAGCAATCAAATTGACATGAAGCAGCATAGGCAAAGTGGAGACAGACCCAAACCCACCTGTGAGAGAACTGGACAGTCCCTCCCAGAAGGGGCAAAGGGAAGGCACAACGAATCCAGGGTGCAGTAGAGCACTAGTGAAACACATAACTATCCTCTCGTTCTTTAATATTTCCTCGTCCCACTATTACGGCCTTAGTTTTACCTAATCTTGCTCGACCTGTGTATGTACATTGATACAATTACAGTCTTTTGATGTAGGAAATCAAAGACAGCTAAACCCCTCAGAAACAGCAATGATTCCTTGAAGGTATGGGAAGAGAGGGGAGTAAAGGGAAGAAGGTGGAACTGATAGCATCGACACCCATATAATACCACTGGAGAGGAACGAACATCAGGATTTTAGGTGAGTGGCTACATTGGAAGGTAAGTAATGGCAAAATAATAATAATATAATATATTAAGGGTTCAGGGGTGGTAGAGTGGAGGAGGGAGCTGATATCAAGGAGTTCAAGAAGAAAATATATTGAAAATGATGATGGCAGCAATTGTATGACAGCGTGATCTAATGGAACTATGGATTGTAATTATATGAGCTCCTAATAAAACGTTAAAAAAATAAAAACAGTGCTGTAATTCCTGTGCTACCAGAGCTTTGTTAAGAAATAGGGTCATAAATTTGAGTTCAGTTCACTTAAGTTAGGTGTGCTTTCCTGGCCGGGGTCAGCGGCCTGACCTGGTACTGGTGAGGATTAAGTGCATGGCAGAGCTTACTCAGGTTTTGCCATCAGGTGAGCGTGGGCTGGGGTGGTGTGAGGAAGTGACAGCTGTACCAGTCGCTGGAGAAAAGAAAGGATGAGAGCGAAATGATTGGATGCCACACAATAAACATGAGTTTGTCACTCTTAACAGAAGGGTCTTAAATGACAGAGCTAATATTTTTCCTTCTAAAATTTACTTTTAATGCTTACATATTTGTGGCATTTAGCTTTTATCTTAAAATTTTATTTTTTCCACTTTTTAAATTAATTATCTTAAAATTTTAATCAAAAGAATAAAATCTTGGTAATTTCTTAAGAGTGATTTATTTTTGTTATGAAATTTAAAGGACAATTGATTTAAGGAGCTCCTGGGCTGTACCCATAGTACATAAATTAAAGCTTTTTTATTATGAAAAAGTATCAAACATATGTAAAAGTAGAGAGAACTATGAAGGTCTAACCTCAGTACTGCCTATAAAAAGCAGGTGTTTTCGTGGTATAGTGATGGGGCCGGCTCCTAAACCTAACCAGCGGGTCTTCTTAAAAAAGCAGAAGAGACACCAACACAATCTTAACCAAATTCATTGCCATCGAGTTCATCCCAACTCATAGTGACTCTATGGGACAAGGTAGAACTGCCCTTGTGGGTTTCTGAGACTGCAACTCTTTATGGGGTGGCAAGCCTGGAAATTCTGGGAGACAAATCCCTGTGAGATTCTTTTAAAAGCCAAAGAAAGTCAGTGTCCTGGGTTAAAGCTGAAAGAAACAAGAATCTTCCCCAGAGAGTGACCCCAGCCCCCTTAACACCCAGAATTTGGACCTTTAGCCTCCAGAATTGAGAAAGTCAATCCTGCCTGTAAATCTGCCCCCTTTGTGATATTTTGCTATGGCAGCCCTAGAAAAGAAAACCAAGACGAATAAAATCACAAACCCCCAGTTTCAATGATGACCAACTTTCTGCCATTCCTGTTTCAGCAGTATAATCTCTCTATTTTCCTAGGGTATTTACAGCAAATCTCTAGGGATAAATGGTTGACATGTAGCATTAACAGATAAGGACTTTTTTTAAAAAGAAAAGAAACATAACCACAAGATCACTATCACACCCAATATCATTTAATACCAAATCTAAGTTTAACTTTCCCCAATCATCTCACAAGTCTTAGTTTGTTATAAGAACACCTCTTTGTATGATCAAATCTGTCCTCCTCCCCGACTGGCTGGTGGTTTCCAACTGGACAATCGTACTAGAACCGAGCTCCGTTATGAGAATTTGTCTGCGACCGGAGCTCCCTAATAAAGTTATCACGAGATTATAGGCACTATTCAAATTACAGAAGTCTTACTGTTTAGGGAGCCGGAGCAATTCTTTCGTCAATTGCTTAAGAGTTAACCGGCGACACTTGGGCTTTCGGAGTCTGCGTTTCCAACAGACGTTTTGTAAGTCTTGTAGATCACTTCCAATAAAACCAAGGCAAGCCCGCTTGGAGCAAAGGCTTATGTGACTTCCAGAAAAGCCAACCTCAAAATAAGGTGAACAGAATGGTCACTCCCGTTGGGCAAGGTTCCCTGGTGGCGCAGAGGCGGCAACCACCTGCTGCTTCAAAGGAGAAACTCCCACCTCTGCCGCCCCAGGAACGCACTGCTCGCCCCCACCCCGCGCCCGCCGATGGCCTGCACTGGGGACACCGTACCCTCAGGTTAGCCCGGAGGCCCAGGCTCTTGGCCAAGTTCTGCAGGTCGCTGTACTTGAATGAGTCCATTTCCTCCAGCGAGTGGACAGGCATCGCGATCAGCAATCCAGCGGACCCCGTAGAGCTCAGTCCAAAATGGACCCAACGACCCTCAACACTCTGGCGCCACTCTACAACAGGGCCAGAGCAGATTTATAAGCAGTTTAAATTAACAGTGCGGCCTTTCCATTGGTTAAAAATGTCTCGAGGGCGGAGTTCCCTGACCTGAGCCAATAGAAACGCTCATTTCCGCCCCCTCGGATGCATTTCCTCTAGGCCCCGCCCAGCGCGGAGGGTATCCGCCCACGGTGGACGACGTCCAATGAGGATGCTGGCATCCCGCTTGGGGCGGGACCTGCTGTAAATTTGAACTCGGGGCGCCGGCTCCGGGAAAATGGCGGCGCGGCCCCGGAAGCGCGGCTCTGCTCAGGCCAAGTTGCCGCGCGGAGCCGTTTGCGTCGCTGGCGCTGCGAGGGCGGCCCGCGAAGACTCTCTCACGAATTCCCTAGAGTGGGATACGGAAGTGGTGCAGGGCTCCTCGCCCTTCTCCGCGCGTCAGGGGGCCGAGGCGCCCGCCGCCGGCCCCCC